ACTTTAAAAAAAAAAATAAAGTCAACGAATTTTGAGAAACACGCCATTTGAATTGGATTTTTGGAATTCTCATCAATGAAGTGTTATTAATATTTATTACACGTACAATTTGTGACAACTTATTTCAGTGTATAAAAACTATTATGATGCAAAATGTCTTCCCAATAATAATCAGTTGTGTTTACGAGTTGTCAATAAAGCTTCAAAGCTTTAGAAAATATCATTCCTGTCAATTCTCGTAATGCCGTGCGTTGCACAAGCTATTGGCCTTGTATAAGTTTGCTTGACGAACCTTATGATATGCACACACAAAAAAAAAAAAGGATAACGGTATCAAGAGTCCCTCAACTGTTGCAAAAGGTTCAATCATGTATCTCAATATTTTCTTTTTATGCAATTGGGTCTTTAAACTACATACATGTTCTGTTCGAGTTAGTTCTTTCGTTTAAGTACATATGGATATGCTGATGTGGTCGTTAAATGCTGATGTGGCATTTTATGTGGCAATTGTGATATACAAAGTTTTTCTCAAAATTTTAAAAATAAAAATCTGAAAGAAAAATCAAACAGAAACTCATTTTGGAGAAATGCATGCATCTCCATCTAAAAGTAGTTTTATGCTACATCTTGGATTGCATTAGTTTTGCCTGGAGACAAATTTATTCTGCAATAAACCAAATTAATTCACGAAAATCAGGAGATATGCATTTGTCTCCTTTTGGTTTTGCCTATAATTACACGATTGCATTCTTCGCTCACCTCGGTACACTCCACTCGCTCACGACGCTTGTCCTCTTCAATCTTCTTCACTGGGCTGTCCACGAACACGTGCCTCTGTGAGTCCCTGAGCTTTGCAATGTCCATCACTCCGCAGTATAGCTCCCAGCCCCCCTCTTCGATCTTCTTCGACATGCAGGTGGAAGTGACAAGGGCCACTCACCCTTGCCTCATATCTGGCGAGGGCCACCCCATCGCTAAAGATCTTTTGAAAATTTTGAAAATAATTTTTTTATTTTATAATTGCCCCATAAGTTGCAATGTCAGCATTTAATGGCCACATCAACATCTCCATTGATAATTTTAATGGAAGGACCAACTCAAAAAAAAAAAGAAGTATACAGTTTAGGAATCCAATAGTGTAAACAAAAAATCGAGAGACCTGATTAAACATTGTACAAAATGTTAGGGATCTGATGCCTTTATCCCAAAGGAAAAAAAAAAAAACTTATGATTGGCCTTTATGGGGGAATATTACTCAATTGATTCTCAATCTATTGTATAAATGTCAATTCAGTCATAAATTTTTCAAATTTACCAATTTAGTCCTAAACTTTTGCCAAAATTTCAATGTACTCCTTTTGGCCAGTTTTCACCGAAAATCGCTAATGTGGCGGTGTGCCACGTGAGACAATTGGTGATGACTAGACCGCCGCATAAATGATTTCTAATGAAAATTGATTGAAAGAACTACATTGAAATTTCATGCAAAGGTTTATGATTTAATTAATGAAATTAAAAAGTTTAGGATTAAATTGGCACATGTACAATAGATTTATGATTAATTGGATAATTTCCCCACCTTTATGGTCTTCCAAGGAGTTTTTAAAAAACTTCCAATCTTGTTAAAAAGTCTGGACACCTTCACCGGTGTCTACTAGCCAATGCAGAATGTTAGGTGGGAAATAGACAATTATACATGACTTTAAAGTGAGCCTGCCAAGTTTTTTACGTATTGGCACCCACTTGCCTAGTTCATATATAAACCCTCACCTCATTTCTTAGCAAGGCACGCCACACCATCCTTTTCTCTCTTTAGGATAGAGAGAAACCCGGAAGTAACAAGCTTCTTAGCTATGGCGGCATTAAGAGGAGAGTACCAAGTGTTCCTGAGTTTTAGAGGACTTGACACACGATATGGGTTCACCGACTTCCTCTACCATGGCTTGAAAGATGTTGGAGTCCATGTTTTTAGAGACTATGAAGAACTCCGTGTCGGGGAAGTAAATGGCGGAGAGCTTTTACGAGCTATCAACAACTCAATCCTTTACATACTCATCTTCTCTTGAACTTATACTTCAAGTAAATGGTGCTTCCGTGAGCTTGCACATATAGTAAACAACGTGTCTAAGTCAGAGGGTCAAAAAAGTGTTCTTCCCATTTTTTTCCATGTAGAACCTGAGGATGTTAAACTTAAGACTCCTCCATATAGCAATGCTTTACTAGAACACGAGAAGAATTTTCCGGAGGAAGTCGAGACATGGAGAAAGGCTCTTGCAGAAGTAGGTAAATTCAAGGGATGGAATGTGGAAAAGAACCGAAGGTAATGCTCTTTTAAGATCCCATCCTCAAAATGTGTTGCACCTTTTCTTCACGCCATTCCTTGGTAACCTGATAAATTAACTCAGAAACAAACTCAGGATCATCCTCCTTTAGACATGTCAAATGGGTGGGTCAGGTCAGGTTTGGGTCGGGTCATAAATGTTCCAATCTGAATTGATCCATTAACCCGTTTATGACCCATTTATGCGCAATGCAATTTTCTTGACCCATACCCGACTCGACCCATACCCAACCCATACCCGATCAGACCCATATTGCTAAAACACTTCATATTTAATTAAATCTAAGAAAATTCATATCCAAACTGAGATGAGAGTGTGAAGTGAGTGAGCGCAAGATTGAATGAGGGCGAAAGAGATGCGTTGAGTTTAAATCAGTTGTAAACTTATTTATGATTTATTTACGACCCATTTATGACCCATTTAATTCCAATATTAGACTTCTACCAATTTATGACCCATTTACTAAATATAATTAATCCATTTATGATCCATTTACTAATATATGGGTTAAGATATGGATTTATGACTCATTTTGATATGTCTATCTTCCTTAACGGGTCCATACAAAAGACACTCCTGAAGCCAAGTCTGCCAAGTTATTCCTCAAATCATTGGCTTTTCTAAAACTGATAAGAGAAGCACTCATTGGAGAGTGATAATAGTAACGAATAAATTAGAGACATTATCAACGGAATGAAACAAAAGATAAGCGCAAATATCTTCATAATTGACTAATCAATTAAGGGTTTGATGATTTGTAGAACATTACATTTGAGGTAGTTTGTGTTGGTGCTAGCAATATCACCTAGAGGTGGTGAATATGTGATTTTAACAATTCTTGACAAATTTAAAGTGGAAGTACAATTATCAAGATAAGTAAAATTTAAACGAAATCTGAGTCTCAACAATATCAGTGATATGATGATATTCACAAAGCACTAATATTAGAGTCTCAACAATAATAGTAATGCGATGCAAATCGCTAATATGCAATAATCAATAGAAGTTTAGAGATAGAGAAAATTGAACACAGAAATTTATAGTGGTTCGGCTTAAAGAAAGCCTAGGTCCACTCTCCAAGACCAGATTTCACTAGTTAATCAATTAAGAGGTTACAATTGTGAGTGATAGTACTAAGTGGATGATAGGTCTCTCTATCTCACTCTTTTCAGTGTCTCACAGAGATTATACTTTGTAGCTCAAGAAAGACAAGTGTGTAGAATCGAAGTATTCTCAGACTTTGGAATTTTTTATTCTAGACCTCTCTCTACATCGGCACTTTGGTCTCCTTTTATATTTCTCCACTTCCAATCTACCGTTGGACAGTTTTGAGAGGATCACTATCCAATCAACTCATTGGACGATATTACATAATGGAGATTGAGTAGTCATTGAGTGATAAGATCTGAATTCTCGTTGATTTGGTCGCCCATACAAACAAATCTCCAATTTCCATAAGTGGAATTCTTTGATTTAGGAAAGCAACTTGTCTATGAAGTGATTGTTAGTCAGTCAAAGATGTTTTGCATAAATGATGTAGTTGCAAAACAATCTTTAGGATCGAAGATCAATACTTTCTAAAAAGGAAATCCAGGCCAGATCACTGGTTATGACAATTGAAGTTTTGTGTCTAAATATATTTTTATGTGTTTGAATATGTCTCCATACGTTTGAACTTGCGTCTGAAAGTATCCCGCTTTAGCATAGAGCCTGAATAGTCAGATGCATCCACATATAATGGATTTGGCAATATCCACACTATTGTTATAACTTTCCTTAGTCACGATATTTGAGCCAAAGAAAATAGAGTCTGAATAATATCCAATTTAATATACTCTTTCTTCACGGTGGAGACAATCAAAGATTGAATCTGAATGAACTTCTCTTCTTAAGTAGTTCCTGTAAGAAAGACACTACTATGTAATTATCAGATTGAAAACAGAATATGGATAGTTTTTTCAAATTCAAAATCTAATAGGAGGTTTTCTTAACAGTTTGTTGGTTACTCATTGATAATAGTAGGATTCAAATATAAAGAAGAAATATGTTGACAAAATTTCTATTCTATACATGAAGTAGAGACCAGTGAAAGTCAATGTGGTTGTGCAACATATTTAGTTCTAAAACGAAGATGAAATGCAAATCACGTGATACAAATACTATCCAAAAGCAAACATCATCTAGATTACAATTGAAAATACAAATAAATGTGTCCATTCAATTATACAGTTTCAAGGAGAGGTGTCTGCGTTTATTTTATTTAGAAAAGAATCTCTAAACTACTTCTAAAAATGTGAAGAGAAGTGTCTACTCATATTAATTATTTCGAAGAGAGGTGTCTGTTAGTGGTGACATCACATCTCCATTTATAATTTTAAGGGAATGACCGACTCGAACAAGAAGTATGCAAAAAAAAAAAAAAAAGTTGAGAGACTTCTTTATTCCAAAGGCAAACTAAAGTTTGATTGGCCTTTATGGTCTCCGAAGGAGTCTTTAAAAATTTCCAAACTTGTTAAAAAGTCTTGGACACCATCTCTGGTGTCCACTTGCTGCTGCAGAACGTTAGGTGGGAAATAGACGATTAAATCTGATTTTAAAGTGAGCCGGCCAAGTATTTAAGGTATTGGCACTCGTTTGCCTACTTCATATCCAAAACCTCACCTCGTTTCTTAGCTTGGCCACTCCACACCATCCTTTTTTTCTCTTAAGGTGAGGGAGAGATTTCTGGAAGTAGTAAGCTTCCTAGCTATGGCAATCTCAGAGGCCGGGTCCAGTAGGGATGCTACACCAGCATCACGAGGCGAGTACGATGTGTTTCTGAATTTCAGAGGAGAGGATACTCGTCATGGATTCACAGACTTCCTCTACCATGGCTTGAATGATGCGGGAGTTCACGTGTTCAGGGACGAACAAGAACTCCTCGTCGGTGAAGTGATCAGCGAGAAACTTCAACAAGCTATGAAGAACACCACAATCTACATACCCATCTTCTCTCAGACTTATGCTTCCAGTAAATGGTGTCTCCGTGAGCTGGCACTCATGGTAGATAACGTGTCTGAGTCAAAGGGTAAAAAAAGTATCCTTCCTATTTTTCTTCATGTGGAACCAGACGATGTTAAACTTAAGAAATCACTATATGAAGCTGATTTCAAGAAACACGAGGACTTTCTTGATGAAGCTGAGGCATGGAAGGGAGCTCTTAGAAAGGTAGATGAACGCAAGGGATGGGTTGTGAAAAAGGACCAAAGGTAGTACTCTTTAAAGATCCCTACCTCTTTCATCTTTTTTCTGTTTTAGGGGATATGACATTGCCCTGTCAAATGATTTCTTTTATTCTTTTCTTAACGGAAAATAGTGAAAACAACCTCCAATTGCTGCTCTCATTCAACTTTACATCCTCTGCTTTTAACATCTTCCCCAAAAATTTTCACTACGATGTCAGTAAACTTCAATGGCGTGGACCTACACATTCCCGTAAACCACTTTTTTCTCTTCCCTGTCTCGTAAGGCTACGGAATATTCAAGAGCACCCATTTGCATTTGCCATTTGGGATGATTACCAAAATCAACTTTAGATTTGCACCCATATTGATCTGCCTTCTCACTACCATCGACCCAAAAAATAGATTTTTCCCTCGTGATAAGGATGTCAGTTTTCATTTTTCATTAATGGGGAAAAGACTAACAAAATCAGAGATCGCAACTGGTGCCTCCTTTTATTACACATTTTTGAATGCTCCTCAAGAAAAAAATAATTACACCACGTAACTAAGATTCGGTGAAGAAAGTTCATGTCTAAATATTCAATAAAAGCGAGAGCATCCTGAGAAACTGTAAAGAATGACTGGGTCATCATCTAGGACCTCGAGCTCTGCAGAGCTCGCGGGACGTCCAAATCGGGGCTAGGCAACCTCGATCTGGATTGGGCTGGGGATGATGACAGTGGCTGACCTCTGATCTGAGGTCAGTGACAGCGGAGACTTTCGAGTGGTCTGGCCGCACACACAGAGGTGTGGGAGAGAGAGAGAGAGAGAACACGGTGTAGGGAGTGCTGGAACTTTGCCCCAGTGCAAGTTGCGAACCAGTAGACAGCGGCAAGGACGGGCGGCAGCTGAAGGTCGATGGTAATCACCCATCTATTCTAATCTGAAGTAATAAAGGTGGAAATGAATACTGGACACATGACTCGAACATGAGCAAATGATGAGTTGGGGCGCAACACGGCAGTATCGTGCTCCGCATGGCATTTATTCCTTGTTTTTTGGGAGTCATTGCATGGCATTTATATTAGCAAATTCTTATCATATTTCATCATAGACAACACGTAATTTGGCTGTCAATTGATAGATTTAAATCTAAAATATGGTGAATTAAAACCTAGTATGCATGACTATAGCATGTGGGCACCAATTAGCTTCTTCAATGCAAATGAGTTGTTTTTGCACAAATTGTTAAAGAGTGGGGAATCTCTTATGCTTTTTGGGTTACGAAGTCAATGTGATCGACATGCCGCTTGAGAATTGTGGATTTTTAACCAAAAAATGGTTAAATATCAATAAGGAAGTTCACCTTAGATGGGTAAATTATGAAACTATGACTTATGCTACTAACTTTATGACCAGGTAAAGTGCAAGTCAAAGCCCAGATAGGTGACCCAAACATATGAATGTATTTACTTGATGGTGTGGAGAATCAAATATGTGTTGTGCTCCTAATTCACACATATCTTTGTTCATTAGTTATGAAGTTAAATCCATGACAGTCGGGTCTCTTGATTTTCAACAAATTTTATTGTGACATAGCTCTTTGAATGCCACCATAATCAGATCCATAGAAGACTTATATGCATAAGTGAAGCCAATACAATTATGTTGGGCTTTTTTTTACTGATTATATTTTTCTCAACCAGACTACAGTGTCCAATGGATTACTTAGCTTTTGTCTACATTATCTCGGTTCATGACTCTCCCATTATGATTGTTGAAATTTTGTTAGGCCTATCTATCAATGCCATATTATGCTTGATATAGTAGCCACATGGTAACTGTGGCCATTGTTAAAGTCAATATTATAGTCTTCATAGATTTATGTAACATTATCAAGTGATATCTACTAAATTAGCCTATAATGATTATTCTTTGTACTTAAATATTGTTGTGATGTACTTCAAATCTTTTCAAGTTAAGATTTGGACAGTCCCACATCTAATGTATGGGTATGAAATTAATCTAGTAACTAAGGAAAGCGCTTTTGTACCTTGCAGTCAAGCAGCGATTGTCAAATTGGTTGTTAAAGAGGTTCTGGAGAAGCTGAAGATAAAACAAAAATTAGTGACTGAACATTTAGTTGGCCTTGATGATCGAATAAAAGACTTGATAAAGTTATTAGATGTCAACCATGATGATGTGCGGCTCATTGGACTATACGGAATGGGTGGCATCGGTAAAACAACTGTTACCAAGGTTGTCTTTAATCAACTATGTTCCCACTTTGGAAAGTGTTGTAGCTTCCTTGAGGGCATTCGTGAATGGTCAAGTAAGGAGGGCATAGTCCCGTTGCAGAAGAAATTACTATCCGACATTGGTGGTCCTAGATCTGTAGGAGATATCAACGATAGTGAAGAAGGAATGAGGAGGATTGGAAAGACGCTTAGTAATAATAGGGTTCTTGTGGTTCTGGATGATGTCGATAAGAAAGTGCCCATTAGGAATCTAATAGACAATTCCAAATTACATCGAGGATCTAGGATAATTATTACAACGAGAGACAAAGATATTCTTCAAGTTGAGGAATCTGAAGTTAAAATTGAACAATATGAGATGCCACTGATGGATGATGGTCTTGCACTTCAACTTTTTTGTTGGCATGCCTTTCGTAAATACTATCCTTTGGATGATTATCATGAGCTTTCAAGGAAAATTGTCTCACTAATGGGAGGGCTTCCTTTGGCTATAAAAGTGATTGGTTCGTTACTTAAGGATAAGGAAGACAAAAAATTTTGGGAAGAGACGTTGGTCAAGTTAACGAAAGTACTTGAGAAAGATATTTTAGAGAAGCTGAGGATTAGCTATGATGACCTAGACAAATATCAGAAACAAATTTTCCTCGATATAGCATGCTTCTTTTTCAATGAGAAGAAGACCGATGCAATTTACATGTGGGAAAGTTGTAAATTTTATCCCATCGGAGGAATTGAAGTCCTTACCAAGAGGTGCTTGATAAAGATATTGGACAACGATAAGTTATGGATGCATGATCAACTAATAGCACTAGGGAGGCATATTGTCCGTGAAGGTAGTCAAGATGACCTTGGAAAGCAGAGTAGATTATGGATTGAAGAAGAGGCCCTCCAAATCATAAGAACCAAAGAGGTAAGTAAGAAATGTCTCATTTTCAAATAGATCTCGTATATCCTATGATTGAGGATTCCCTTTTTGCTTAGAATGTTTAACATTTTTTTTTTTTGAGTTGTAAAACATTGTAATTGGAAGTTGACAAACTTCTTCACATCACTGCGAAATTTCACTTGCAGAGGAAGCACATGATTGAAGCACTTGTGGCATATGGAACAATTACAAATGAAGACTTTGAAGGGTTACCAAATCTAAGATTCCTCGAGTTAAAGAGGGGAACTTATGCTGGGAACTTTGCAAGGTGTCATTCAAATTTAAAATGGTTTTCTTGGAGTTGTAATTCTCCTCTTTATTGGAGTTATTATCCTCCTTTTGGGCAAGATTTTGAGGTGGACAATTTGTATCTGAATCGGCTTGTTGTTTGTAAGCTTTGCGACATTGACTTGAAGGATGAATCAAAAGCATGGGAATTCATCAAGGTAAATTGCATATTTTGACCCTAGTCTGATAGTTCCCATGTGTACTATACAATGGTTCTTACTCTTGACATATCATCAATTTTCACAGAGGGCGTGGGATTTGAAAGTTTTGTCTCTTATTGAGTGTGAAGGCATAACGACAATCCCAGACATCTCTAAATGCTCGGCTTTAGAGAGGTTGACTCTTCAAAGATGCTCCAGTCTAAAGAGAATTGAAAGCTCCATTGGAAATCTACAGTCATTGATTGAGTTAAAGATCGAAGCGTGCAATTATCTTACAGATTTGCCTAAAGAAATTGGGGCACTAGTGAAGCTTAAGCACTTCTCATTGTCAAGATGTAGCACGTTGAGAGAACTTCCGGGCTCAATTGGGAATTTAACCTCATTGACGGAGTTAGACTTATCAGGTACCGGCATTGCCAAACTTACAAACTCCATTGGAAAATTAATATTGAAATATTTGTAGTCTGAAACTTGAGAAATTTTCTTTTGACAGACATGATAATAAGGGAACTTCCCAACTCCATTGGAAAGATAAATCTTGAAGAGTTGGATCTCTCTGGGCACAATGAAATGATAGGTGAAATTCCTATTAGAATTGGAGAATTGTCATCTTTAAGAATCCTAAATTTAATGGGCACCCATATTAGCGGAATTCCAAGGACAATCAACATGCTTCATCACCTCCAAACACTAAACTTAAAAGAATGTCATAAAATTCAAGGGTTGCCAGAGCTTCCCACAAGTTTGACTAGTCTACTTCTTGAATCTAACTCGTTGCTCTCAGTCCCCAATCTGTCGAACCTTACTAATTTGGTTGAACTGCAACTGAGTAAAGGCTATTTGATGACAAACAAATCAAATCTAATCACAGGATGCAACTTGAGGTGGATTGGGAGGTTATCTAGACTGCAAAAGTTAGATTTAATTCTGCCAAATGTCCCTGCACCTCTAGAGTTGGCTTCTCTTTCTCATCTAGAAGAGCTTACTTTGTCTCGCCTAGACCTAGAAACCCTCGTGCAGCTTCCGTCCTGTCTGCGGAGATTGAATTTGGAATTCTTTAGCGTCAGGTGGGCAGAGTTGCTACCTTCCCGCTTGAGATTGGGAGATTTGTCGACTTTAGAGTTTTGTGATGTTGAAGTAGAAGAAATTCCACTCGATGGACTTCCGCAACTGGAGAACTTAACTGTTAGCCGTTGTGAACTGCTTCAGAGATTATCTTTGGAATTAAGGAACCTACAGCAAGCGCATGTGTCATCTTGTCCAGAGCTAGTTGAGATACAAGTTTTGGGTCTTTCGAAATCAATGGAATCCTTCAATGTTTTGAATTGCACATCTCTGAGAAGAATAAGTGGGTTATCATACTTGAAGAACTTGGAGAAATTGAAAATCAGTTGGTGCATTGTACTTTCTATTGTTGAGGGCCTTCACGAGCTAGAGTCTCTGAAATCCTTGGAGGTCAGGCGGTGCCCGTCGTTGAGAAGGTTAATTGATGCATCTTCAACAAATATTCCGGATGATTGCCGCGTCAAAATAGTGGAGTGCGGTGACTTTAACAAAGATTCTACTCCGAGCTACCCATCTGGAAGCTCTATGAAGCGTTACAGAGAGGAGATCTTCCTAGATACATCAAAGTTTGAATCCAAGTTAGACAAGGTGCAACATCGTCTTCATCAATTTATGGTAGACATGCGTGAATACGCGGGTTTGAAAATTGATTTGTTCTTATTTCAGTTAGAAGCTATAATTCGATAAAACTACACAAATTGTAAAAAGTCAAATATTATTTTGAAATCTACGTGGACAAAAATATATTTTTGAATCTAACACGTATATTTATATAGATGATCTTTAAATAATTTGAAATACATTAGTGTCCCTTCAACATGTTCATGTTAATCTGAAATATTGTATAAATAAATAAAATTCACAAATAAAATATTATGGAGTGTTGGATATTATTGATGAACAGAGATGTTATTCTCTCTTCTCTATTTCTTTTCTGAATGGATACAAAAACATATATAGTTGTACAAAGAAAAAAACTACCAAAGCTATTCTAGACTATGCACTATCTTAGGCTAAGAAAATGATTGATCCTCAAAATAAGGACATTATACAATACAAATTTAGCAAAAAATTAGCCCTGCAATTTTTCCACACGCCAACACTCCCCCTCAAGTTGGTGCATAGATATCACTGATGCCTAACTTGTTAAGTGAGTTGTAGAAGATCTTGCATGAGACATTCTTCGTGAGTATATCTGTGAGTTAGTCTTCAGATTTAACAAATGGGAATCGAACTATCTAGGCAGCAAGGCTTTGTTTGATGAAATGTCGAACTACCTCGATGTGTTTAGTACGGTCATACTGAATTGGATTACAAGAAATATCGATAGCTGCCTTATTGTCACAAAATAAGCTCATCTCGGAATTGGGAGCAAAACCAATCTCAGTTAGTAATCTCTTAAGCCAAAGAAGTTCACAAAGACCTTTGGCCATATCTCTTAACTCGGCCTCAGCACTAGATAACGCCACTACCTTTTGCTTCTTGCTCCTTCACTTGACAAGATTGTCTCTTACAAAGGTGAAGTAGCTTGATGAAACTTCCTGTTAGAAACACTTCCTGCCCGGTCTATATAACCCTCAAAATTAAGACAATTATTCTTTGAGAACAAAAGTCATTTCCCTTGAGCGGACTAAAGTAATGAAGAATTCGAACTACTACATCCATATGATCTTTACCAGGTGAATGTATAAACTGACTGACTATGCTTACGGCATAAGTAGCTGCACACATATGGGATAAATAGATTAACTTTCCCACTAATTGTTGATACCTCTCTTTATTAGTTGTCACCTGATCTGGATATTCTCCAAGTTTGTGATTCTGAATAATTGGAGTATCAACTGGCTTTTCGTTGTTAATTATTCTTTGAGAACAAAAGTCCTTTCCCTGGAACGGACTAAAGTAATGAAGAATGTGAACTACCACATCCATATGATCTTTACTAGGTGAATGCATAAACTGACTGACTATGCTTACGGCATAAGCAGTTGCACGCATATGGGATAAATAGATTAACTTTTCCACTAATTGTTGATACCTCTCTTTATAGTTGTCACATGATTTGGATATTCTCCAAGTTTGTGATTATGAATAATTGGAGTATCAACTGGCTTTTCGTTGTTAGCAGGATATATTGCAAGATCCAAAGTAATCTTAGGAGCAACACTTGTTAAGACCTTGATAAAGCCTTATTTTAAATACGTAGGGGCAGTAGTTTATGTGTATCAATAGGAATTAGTCAAGCTAAATGCTAGCACTATAATATTCACAGAAAAAGGTTTCCTATTGACGCCGTTTTTGAGTAATTATAGTTGTATAAAGAGAATGTTCCACAAATGACCTAATCTATCCTCGATTTAATGGTTTGTGAGAAAGTGAATAGTTACAATCTCCAAATAAATATTGGAAAAAATAGCTACCGGAAAGTTTTATTTACACCGGCATTCTAATTTTCTTTTCTTTTTTTTTGTCTTAAAAAAGGGAATCATGATGAGATAGCACTCCTAGGTAGATAATTCTCTAACTTATTTGATGTTTAAATTGAACTTACATCACATACTTATTTAAAGTTCAACTTAGTTAATAAAAGAAAAAACCAATAAGTATTATTAATATTCTACTGGACATTTGAGTGTTTAAATCCTAAATCTGTCTCTAACTAATGAATGATATCTGTGTCGTATTGGATTTGGGTAAATATGCAACAAGAATTAAAATATATTTAATGCATATGTTGTTTGGCTCTCTCATTAAACTTGTTACATCACAGATTTCCTTCACAATCAGATTCCACCTTGGAGTAAAGAAGTCCAGTGAGGGGTTTGGGTTTGTTGGTGGAATAAATAGGGAAAAGGAAGATGTCACCCCTGATTCAGTGACATATGAAGGATTGGTTGCTGATGTGAAAAATTTCGGGTTTCGTTTGAAGAGAATGTGGTACGAGACTCCTTGTGTATACCGCGATTTGCTCATAGAGATCCAGAGTGATGAGCAAGTGAAGGGAATAATTCAGCTAGCATCTAAAAGAGAATTGATTCATTTGTATGTCGAGGGAGGAGTTGACAGTGAGTGGAAGGGAGAATACGATGACGAGATGATGGAAATGTTAACAGAGGAATGGAGAATGAAGAGTGATGTGTACTTCGATGACGATGGGACTAAGTGGGACATTTCACATCCTGATGAAGACTTAGACTCTGCATCTATTGGTGAAAGCGAAACTCATGGCACTTCCCTCGTTGATGATTTCGAGTTAGCGCCGGGCAATGCTAAATGTTTCGAGGCTACGACATCAGTTGCAGAAAAAGATTTAGACAGTGTTGATAAGCAGGTGAAGCAATCTTTCCTCCCTCTTTTGAGTCACTCAACTCTACTTACCTTGTTGGTGTTGGATAGTTTTGGTTCTTTAATATTGCCACTAAACTCATTTAATCATTCTTTAAATATTAATCATCAAAATTGCTTTCATATACGAGAAACTAGATACTAGATCACCAATTATAGATTTCAAAAGCATCATATGATGTTTTTTGTCTACCAATTTTTTTATCACTTTGCAATAGTCATAATTAATGTATAAACTTAATGTTTTATATAATAGCAGCACTTATTGATTATTTGACTCGATTGTTGCATTTAATGAGCTGTGGAGAAATTAATGTCAAATAATTCGATTATTGCTATACAAAGAACAAATGAAAAAACTCATTAGATCCTGCCACCCGTCACCACATGGGAAAATGAATGATGAATAAGGGGCAGTTGATTAGTGGTATATATGTTTGATATTATGATGACCCATCTCCTATGAATTTGTTGTTGGCCTCTTGGGCAAAGATACTTTGAATTTTCGTTTTGCCTCTTTCTTTAATAATTTTGTTAGAATGTTTATGCAAGTTAATTCAGAGCTAATCTATCCGCTTGTAGATTAAGTTAATTCAGAGCTAATCTATTCACCTGTAGATCGAGCAGTAACTGTATGTCACATTTATTTGATGCTTTGCCAGTGCATGCATATATAGTGGGCTTTGACTAGCTTTGTATTTTTTACCACCAATGGGCTTGAGTAGTTAGTTGACAATGCTTTTTTAGTACCACTGCAAATTGCCAACATGCAGGATTGATGTCTTTTTATAGGACGTGATTATTTCAAAGTAAATTAAAACACATATTGCTTGAACAAATAGTAATATATTATGTCCGGATGTAAATTTTGTATGAGCAAACATATTATTTCAAGCATATTACTTTAGATTAAGAACGATTACAACAACATACAGACTTTCATAGACTGATTTAAAACAATATGACCCACGGTTATGGATCTTTCATACGACAAGAAGAAAATAAAATTCCTTTTAAGTTCCAAAATTCAAAACAATTGAATTTATATCAGTATTATAATTGAAATAAATAGCTAACGTTAAAAGATAGTAGTACATGAAGTACATAAAATTATCCAAAAAGAGTAGATTACTGTAATTAAAGTGAATATAAGATGAAGGATTAAGTTCACTAAAATAATGACATTAAAGTTAGAAACAGAAACGGAACTTGTTATGGAAGTAGAATAGCAAGACTATTACTTTATTTTATTTATACTTTTTTGCTTTACTTGGCATGGCATGGAATAATTAGTGCAAATGATGATAAATTTTAAGGAAATAAAATTAGTTAATTAATCTAAAAAATTATACCATCAAGGTTATGTGGAACATGCATAAGATGCTGAATAATGTCGATTCTCCTCTGATTCGAATCTGCTCTCCTTTCCCAAACTCAGGATGGGGCTGAGTTCGACATTTCAGGTTCGAATGAAGTGCGAGACTCTGCGTCTGTGGGTGAAAGCGAAACTGATGGCACCTCCTCCATTGATGATTTCCAGTCAGAGCCGGGCAATATTGAATGTTTCGAGGCCACGGGAAATAGGAGGCAAATGAGAGACGGAAGAATTGGGCGCTATGACAGTGTCGATGGGGGGAAAACGGCGAGTATGGAAAATAGGAAGAAGGACAAGGATGAGATTGGGGAACCCGCCAACCCAAGTGATGTTGTCGGGTCAAGTGGCCAAACATGCAAAGGAGTTGAACACTATGAGAGATACTGCAAAGCTACAACTGAAGTTGAGGATCAAAGAGACTTTTCTTCTGTAAGTACTGAAAGTTTGCATTATCTTAATTGTGCAGTCCTTGAAACTTATGCTGAATTTCAACGTGGTCCAGGTGAAGAGGGATAAGACTGTGGAGACTGATCAAGTACTTGCAAAAACAGGCAAAGGAACAGGATGTTCATCAAAACCAGAAAGGGACCCTACAGAAAGATGCAGAGGAAAGGATATAGCTAAAAGTTCAAGAAACGACAAAGGTTTGAGGCTGGGTAGAGATGCAACTTCTACTTTAGGGAAGGGCACGGAGTCAAACTCAGGAAGGGACATACCTTCAAGTTCACAAAGCAGCGCCACTTCGAGTTCAGGAAGGGCCAGAGGTTCAACTTCTGGAAAGGGCACAACTTTGAGTTCAGGAAAGGGCGTGACTTTGAGTTTAGGAATGGGTAGGGGTTCAAGTTCGAGAATGGACACAACTAAAATGGGCACAGCTTCAAGTCCAGGAAGGGGCATAACTTCAAGTTCACAAAGCAGCGCAACTTTGAGCACCGAAAGGGGCAGAGATTCTACTTCAGGAAGGGGCACAACTGTGAGTTCAGGAAGGGGCATGACTTTGAGTTTAGGAACGGGTAAGGGTTCAAGTTCAAGAATGGACACAACTAAAATGGGCACAGCGTCAAGTCCAGGAAGGGGCATAACTTCAAGTTCACGAAGCAGCGCAACCTTCAGCATAGGAAGGGGCAGAGGTTCAACTTCAGGAAAGGGCGAGACTGTGAGTTCAGGAAGGGACGAGACTTTGAGTTTAGGAACAGGTGGGGGTTCAAGTTCAAGAATGGACACAAATAAGATGCACACAGCTTCAAGTCCAAGAAGGGGCGTAATCTCAAGTCCACGAAGCAGCGTGACTTTGAGTGCAGGAGGGGGCAGAGGTTCAACTTCAGGAAAGGGCACAACTGTTAGTTCAGGAAGGGGCGCAACTTTGAGTTTAGGAAGGGGCACGACTAAATTGGGCAAAGGTTCAAGCTCGGCCAAGGCTGAGCCTCAAACATCAAGGTCACGAGAAGAACAATAAGGCAAGCATGAACAAGCACAAAAGCAAGCGGAAGATCTAAGGTAATATAACATATATAGTAGGTATGCACTTTCTTCATTCTTTTTGTGTGCTTACCCACAGACAAGCATGGTTACAAACTCAACTTTTTCGGGAAGACTCGAGACCAATATGTCATGGGGTAGAACTCTATTTTTCTTAAGGAGACCCAAAACCAACAAGTTGTTACAGGACGCGGATCATCTATCTCCTTCCATAAGCCAATCTGGTGTCTCCATTCTGTTATAGGTGTTTACGGTTCTTCTTTTCTGACCTCTTACCTTTGTTTTATTTCCATTCTGTTAAGTAGAAGGTTTACTCCATTCTTCTTTCTATTGCATTTATACTTCCTTGTTTTGCTCTATGTAGAATTTCAGATTCACTTTCTTTTTGTTATTTCTACATATCATTCTTCTTGGCAAAACTCTCTTTCTCTTGGAGTGTATATTTCTGCAAACTATTTTCTTTGGTTTTCATTTTCTTCCCAAAGGAAATCTTCTTTTAAGATTTTGTGGTCTATTTTAAAGGAAGTGCTAATAAGGTTATTTGGAAATGTGAAAACATGAGTGAGGTTGGCCTTGGGGTTACCCTCCATTTGCTAGGATGAATCCTATAAGTAGGACGTATTACTTGTCCATCCATTTCTCTAATTCAATCGCAAACTATTCCCTCAAGCTCTTTGTCCGGATAAGTGAGCGTGATGATCTGAAAGTACTTTATATGAAATTCTTGTCAGTATTTTTCCTTTATTTAATTCTCCAATGTTCAATTCATCGATCTACTTTTGTTAAACTTAATTTCTATCTCTCCATCTTTATATTTACTAGAAAAGATACCATAAAAAACTTTAAAACATGTCTACTGTAATATCAATGCTCTCAAACGTTTCTTGTACACCACAAACTCCAAATTTATACCTGCATGAAACATCTATCTTCTGTCACGGTTCTTGTCAAAGACCTCCCATGAAAATCCTACGGCTTAACAACGGAATGCAAACAGAGCTAATGTGACGCCGTCATGGCTTAAATGAAAAACAATGACAGTCGATATGGCGGCTGACGTGGACTACAATGCCGCCGTTTTGCTCTCTCTCTCGGTTGCTGAAGTCGATGTGGGGCAAAATTATACGGTTCTTGGTTCGTGTTTGCTCTCTCTCTTAGTTCCTTGCCAAATCCGTGGCTGTTTAACCAAGTCTTGTCCAAATCGAGCTTCGATTCAACTTGGGCGAGTGATTACGAGTTCACATTATTTCAAATCCGTGGTTGTTTTTACTGTCTGGTGTTTTTCTGACTATGGATTTCACCCCCTTTTCTGGTGTTTTTCTTGCTCTTTGGTTATGTCATTACCAGAGTTTGTGCATTTTTGCCTCTTCAAGAGTCCTGTGAAGAGTTTTTGCTTCGTGGCCAGTATTTTAACCCCTCAAAATTGCGTTTTCTTTACTCCTACAACTTGTGGTTCTTTATCTTACATGCTCATCGGAAGAGATGGATTATATTTTGCATTATTAAATTTGGTCAGCTCTTTAATTTTCTTTTATCTTTGGTGCATCTAAATCTTGCCAGTATTCTGTAATTGATCAGCATTATATACCAATAGTATTTGATAATTCAGTGCAAATGTAGTAGTTGAAGTTACCGCTATCAACCTTGGGACTGAGACACTGCTGGTATGAACCTGGTTCTCTCATCGCTGTTTAGAGCTCTGGAAGGCCACTGTACTTGGATTTAATGGCCTGACTCGATTTGTTTGTCGGAATCATTTTGCAAAGGGCATTGTTCTTGTTGCGCTGCATATGCTTTTGAATGCCAGGGCGAGAAGATTACGATAGATTAATAAGACCCCTGAGCTATACAGGAGCAGTGGGTCTTTGTCTTGGCTTTCTCTTTAGTTATTTGAGCTAGCTACGAGTATAATTGAAAAGGTTTCACTTCCAAATTGTTGTTTCCACAATTTAGTATCTGAAGATTTTATGTTGGCCAGTGGAAGGAGGTTCTATCGTTGGAGGTGATGGTTTGTCAATAATCTGCAATAGATTTGGGATTGATAAGTTAGTCCATTGTCATGTGTTGTTCATTCGGTAGTTGAGTATAGGACCAGTTCACTGTTATGTGTCGTTCACTGAGGGAGCCATGTATTGTTGAATTTGAATCTGTTGTGATGTATTTGAAGGCCTCTGTTTCACATAATTTCTAGTGTTTCCAATGAGTCAATCTTTTTTCCTATGCTGAGCATTATTGAAGTTGAAGTTTCTGTCGAGTGAAGTGTGCACTACTAGAATGTGAATTGCTTGCTTGTCTTGGACAGGTTGATGATTGCGGGTTTTTCAAAAGGATTGATCCTAAGTCCTCGTTACATGACAGAGTGATTTTTGGATTGATCAATGAAAAAAAATCATTGGAAAGTATGGAAGTCAGTTGAAAGTATCTGAGGAGAAAGTCCACATTCTCAAAACGCAGCTAGAAAGGAGTAAGCGACAGAACAACTAGATACAAGTGGAAGTGTCTCGACTAGAAGCAAAGAAAAAGATCTATTTGAAAGGCATAGTTGTATTAGAAGGATTGATGTGCACAAATGCTGATGTTGAAGTTGGACGAAAAAACACAACTTACGTTGCCTTGGATTGGCAACAATTTTGGATTGTCATGATGGTTGTCCATCTCTTTTGCTTTTGGGTAGCATAATTGGGGGTAGATGCTAGGCAAGACCAATGTTATGATGCAAAAAAAGTGAAACTGTATCCAACTGTGTTAGCAAATCCAAGTTCAACTGTGTTTAATTGTTTGCAATGAATGATGTCTTGTTCTGTGTACTGCATACTTATTTCAGATTTTTGTAATAATACTATCATGTTATTATGTCGCACAATAAAGGATTTAAGTTCTTAAGCTTTTAAAAACTATGGTGGATTTGCTTGGAGATGAAAAAAAAAGGAAACAGAACAACAATCACCAATTATATTTTTCAAATAAGGTCTAAAAACCTTTGTTCTTTCAGAACTCGGATGATTATATTAGAAAAAACCAACTGGACAAGTTGGCATATGGTTCAAAAAACAGTAAAGAAGAGGAAATTACAACCTACTTAAACGATTACAACAGAAAAAATCCAACTGGACATTAGCTACAAAGTTGGTATATGGTTCAGATAATGGAGAAAAAAGAGGAAATTACAACCAACTCTAATGATCACAGCACAGCCATCACAGGCATATTTCATTGTTTCATTAGTCTTTGCAGTGGTTGCCATACCGAACCAGGAAAAAAATTTAAGAATCAGCATAATCCATCTTGGACTCATCAGTAAGAGCATTTCACAAGAACCAGTACTCCCAAATACTTGCAAACAAATATCATCTCGGAACTGAGTAACTTTACACTGTAAAATCTTTGGAAAAGGCTTCACCAGATAACTCTGATTTGGAAAACAAGAAACAAACCATGCTGATAAAGGAAGCATCTGCAGGAGTTCTCAGAGTCCAAAAGGATCTGTTTTTTAAACTTGTAAGTTTTCATCCAGGCCACCCAATGATTTACAATGCTTTGGATGACAGTACTGATAAGTTGAAGTCCAGCAACATGGAATAATTTGCTGGCAGTCCAAGCGTTGAACTTACTAGAAAGTTTATCAAGCAAAGGCTTACAATCCACAACTGAAAGCTCCCCCAAAACAAGGGGAACAGCCGAGTTTTTAAGAGGAAGATCGCCTTCCTTCAAATCAGATAAATCCAGTAACTCTTGCTGCAAATCATCAGGGATACCAGCTGCAAATAGAACAGTTTTAGATGGACTGAGTTTAGGTCCAGATAGAGTTCGAAATCTATCAAAGACACAGAGCACAGCCTCCAAAGATTGCTTGTCGCCATTTAAAAAGAAGAGCAAATCATCAACAAAGGCCAAATGAGTTAGATGAATTCTTTTCGCGCAAAGGATAGAATTCAAGTACACCAGAAGCAGCATCAACATCCCACAATCTAGAAAAAGGACCTCGATCGTCAGAAGCCTACCAGAGGAAATGCGAGAGATCCAACACGAATCTGTGACGATGTAATCAAGCTTTTCTGAGGAAAAGCAAGAGCCCCAAGGTCGGTAATGAGTTTGAACAAATTGAGCTCCAGCAACTGAATCGAGCTTTTCTGAGAGAGAAAGAGAGCAGGAAAGAACTCACTGACATATCCCATGTGTTGATTTCTTTGTGTCATCATAGATGTATCATCAAGACGTTGCAAAAATTGTGGTGCTTGGTGATGTATGTCTTCAAACTTGCTTGGGCAACAAGTCCATGCTTAAGCACGCGAGGCACATTCCGCACCTTTAATTGAACTCGAGTTCTACCGGAAAATTAGATGATGATGGATTGGAAAGTTGGTCCAAGGATGAAACTTAGAAGCTTGTCGAGGAGTCGCTCATTCTAGCAAGGAGGGGGAAAATGTTGTGCTCTTTACTGCATATAAACTGGGGTGTGCAAGGACCAAATTCATGCTGTGGGAGAAGCAACATCTAATCAGCGACAAAGGCAAAATCTAATGTGTGAGGTCGAGCCTCGCCCGACCAAGGCGAGGCCCGCCCTCGCCGGGCGAGGCCGCCCTCGCCAGTGGCCGGCGAGGTCGAGCTCGCCGGCCTCTGGCCGGTCGCCGGACCAGCGACCAGCCAGAGGGAGGAGGGAGAGACCAAAAAAAAAAAGTGGAAAAAAAAAGAAAAAAAAGGAAAAAAAATAATAATTCAAAATAATATTAAAATAATATTAAAGTTGTCCACGTCGGCGCCACGTCAGCGCCGGTGACCGGCCAGCAGGCGTCCACGTCGGCAAAATCCGGTCAAAATTGACCGGAAGGACTAAATTGGCACAAAAATAAAAGGTTTAGGACTGAATTGGCACCAATTTAAAAGGTTTTGCACTGAATTGGCAAAAAAAAAGTTTAGGACTAAATTGGCACCAATGCAAAAGGTTTAGGACTGAATTGGCACCAAAAAAAGGTTTAGGACTAAATTGGCACTAATGCAAAAGGTTTAGAACTTTTTTGGCACTTTTCCCCTCGATCATATCAGCGAAAAAGGCAAAGGCCTCCATATTCTTGCAAGCAAAATTACTACGTTCAGTAGAAAGTTACGAGCGATAAGACCTCAAACAATACGAGAGAATAAGAAAAATTATTATCACTTTGGGGAAAATTGCCAATGGGAAAAGAAAGGTATGATGATTGGAGCACACAAATCACAAGAATTGCAAGTCCATAGGGAAGTTACGTGGAAATAATGATAGCAGTTACTAACGAATCACAATGTATATAAAAGTTGCTTTGAAGAAACAAAATTGCAGCGATTTCAATGATCCCAAATATTTCATTGTTCATAAGTAATACGCCATTTGGATTCATATAATTTTTTTTTATAATCAATGAAAGCAATCGACTTGTTTATAAATTTATTCAAATGTTTCGTATCCGATGGTAAAATTTGGTTACACCACTTCAACGTTAGGCCTGAGTGCTAATTTTGTACCCAGTCACCTTAGCCGTCCATATGAATGCTGTCAAATTGCCAGCTCGTCGCAGAAAAGTGGCACCGGTGCCTACCTGCTGATAAATGGAGTACCTGAAGTGACCAAAACAGAGTTATTTCATTGATCGGATCATTCAATAGCTTTCAGAGCGAAACAAAACCATCATTTAGATTATCCGGTTCGTTAGCTGTTGCTTTTGCTAGGTTTTGCTTATGGAACAACGGTAAAATTGTCCCACAAAGATATATATTGATAAAATATTTAAATATTAAATTACGCATTCATTTGCGAAATTTGTCCCATAAGCATAGAATATTATCATATATGAAAGTTGTCTAATTGGCGAATAAGTACACGTGATCTTTCAGGTGCGTTTGTGCTTTCTTCTTCGGGCTCCCAAAGACACTACTACATCTCGATTACCCTCCAATTCCTTCGATCGTGAACGAACCATGTCCGCGTGATTCACATTACTCTTCCCCGTGCAGCAGCGACTGAACTATGGAGGTCCACTCGATTTTCCGTAGCAATCGCGCGCAACGTCAAAAAAACAACGCTTCAATCTTCTGCCCCTACCTCCTCCGCTTGCCTTTAGGTACTTGAATGACTACCGTTGTTACCGGAGATTGGTCTGTTGCTACGTTCCACACCAACTGTTTGTCGAAATTCCTGAGTAGCTTCATTCTCGGAAACCCCACTTTGTGTTGCTCTTTATGGGTCCCGGTTTTCACTGACGGACCTTTGTTTCGATCTCTTTGAAGCATTGTCCTGTGATATCTTTTTTTCCTTTATTTTTGGGTCTTTACGTCTTTAGAGCGTCCTGCAGGAGAACAACTATGGCGGGCAATGATATCTCCATGGAAAGTAGCGAGCTGAAACGTCAAAAGATGGACAGATGACAGACGTGATGTGATTAGTAATCTGCCAGACTCGGTGCTCCTCCATATCCTGTCCTTCCTGCCCACGAGGGACGCCGTAAGGACAGTGATGGTCCCGAGATTCCGTTACCTCTGGACTTCTACCCGCCACTTATCTTTCGATCACTGTGCTTACCACAACTGCAAGGAGGAGGCCGCTGCTTTTAGAGTCGATGAGAGATTCGTGAATTTTACCGACCATGTGCTGACTCTGCACGAGAACCCCACAATCGATTCGTTCTGCCTTTATTTGAACTATGCGGCTGAGGCGTACCCCGATTATCCTCAATATGAGGGTGGTGTAACTGAAGAGACAAGACGGTCGAACAAAATCGGTACGTGGATTTGTTTTTCGGCGAGGAGAAAGGTTAAGTTCCTCGATTTGGACTTCTTGGCGCGTGCTAGGGAGTTCTTACATAATCTTGACTTCCCACGTAATCTTTACGTGCTGCCCAGCATTGTTCTGAGGTGTAGCTGCTTAGTGGAGCTGAAGCTGGCTTCCTGTGAGGTTAGACTGGTGGGACGGGTCCAACAAAGGTCGCTTAGAAAATTGTTCGTGAAGCAAATTTACTTAACTGACAACAAATTGGCTGACATACTATCTGGTTGCCCGTTGCTGAAGGAATTGTCTCTTGAAGATTGTCATGGCCTCCGCAAGCCCAAATTCTGTAGTGCCCCTTCTATTGAAGTTTTAAATTTGGAGAAATGCAACAATTTGAAAAAGCCTGATCTTGCGCAATCAGATAAAAAACATTTAACCATTGATAACAGTGGGCATCTGGAGCTAGTTCATCTGGAGCTAGTTTGTCCTAATGTGATGATTCTGGATATTGCTGGGCGTATAGAGGGTGTCAAGGCGACCAATATGTCATCACTGGTTGATACGTCCCTCTACTTCAGTCATTATTTTCGATTTTCGTAGGGAGAATATCGCGAGTTCAGACTGCTTCTGGAAAAGCTCAGCTGCAGTCCTTATTTTATGCCATGCTATTGGTGCATACTGGTATGTTTCTCTGCTGTTGCTCCGACCTAATTTGTCTCGCTTTGAGGGACTTTTAAATGACTTGGGTCCTGATCCTTCAGGTAAGGAGTAATACTATTTGTTTGATATGATATTCTCACATTTCAAATGTCCTAAAATTCCTAGAATAGAAGTTGGATGAACTGATTTTGAATGGGTCTCATTGGAAATGGCCAGTGGCTATGCTGTTTCTCTGCTTTGGCTTCTGCGTTCTGTTGCTCTTTTTATGCTTCAGTTCATGAGGTAATGCCCTGGACGAAGAGTGTAAAAAAAATTATAGACCTAGCCTGGGTTCTTTTATTTCCACACCTAAACTTTTATACAGCTGCCTTCCTTGCATCTGCTGGCCTATGAACTTTGAGCAAATGTAAACTGTCATCCATAACCTATTCATGTAACCGAAAACTACAGCTTGTAAGGTATCTGTCTTCCTTGTGTCCTTGTTTGCTTCGTGGTATTTTGTGGACGATATTGTTTTCAGTTTTTACGTGACATCTGTGAACATTTTAAATGTGCATGTCCATGCTCTTGTGATTTGCATTTCTAATATTCTACATAATCTGATTAATTTCTTGACAAGACTCTGAATTCAATGGTATCATACTAATTCATTTCAATCAGTCCATACATACACATGCGCTCGAGCATATCCACAATGTATGTCCTGCACTAATTTTCATTTAAAGCCGGTCCAAGTAATTCTTTTTAAATTAGGTATTAACCATGTGGGAGCTGACAAATCAGCCGTGCCCATCTTTCGCTTGGAAGCATGTGACACTTCAACTGTGTGACACTTCAACTGCATCTGAGAAAGCGGTGCCTCCCCGGCATTTGTAGCTTGTTAAGGAGCTCTCATTTTCTTGAGACACTCACTATTTATGTTTATACTGGAAAAGATGACGATAATTTCAAGGTAGGAATGCTTGAACTGTAAAATTTTATTGGAATATTCGAATTTGTAAATAACGGAGATTGAAAAGTTGCTTTAAATTTCTAGTTTGCCAAAGCAGGGTGGAAGCTTGCATTTGAGTTCAATGGCTTTAGTTACTGGAGTTCAGTGGATGGCACATTTCCCTGTCTTGAGCACCAACTTATGCATGTTAAGATATATGGTTATGTACTGGAGCCTGATGTCATTGAGCTCATTGAATTTCTACTTAAGAATGCACAGGTCCTGGAGAAAATGGAGATTTCTACCAAGAAGACTCTGCAGCGTACACTAGGTAAGCACATGTTTTCCAGTGACATTGGTTGTCCATCAAAGGATTATTGTACATCTGATGCGCTGCTAGAGTTTTCACAAAAGTTGTTAAGTTTCCCACGGGCCTCAACATGTGCAGTAATACACCTGGGTTAGATACTGGTATTGGAGTTGCATTCACCCCTCTTTTGGACACCCGTGATATTTCTATGTCTGGCATGTTTCACATCTTATGGACTAGACAAAAGTAGTTGGCCTTTATGTATTCGCCCTTTTGCTTCAGGTCTACAGATTCGCAACATCCACGACTCTGTACAGGCAGCTTTATGAATATTTTGATAGTGGATGCGCCTTTTTTTTTTAAGTATGTTTCTCTTAACAGCCTTTCTTTTCAAATTCCCAGCTCTTGCAAATAGTTGGGCTAAAATCTTTCCAGTCAAGATTAACTTAGAACAAACTCTTGATACCCGTTACAAACTGTTGATTAGTGGCCTTCCCTCTTGTGGCTGCTGTTTCTCTCTTGGTTTTTCATTTTAGAGTTCGCCTGTCTTCGATATTTCACTTTTCATCTTTAGCTACCATTTCTCTGTCTTGAAAGGAACTCGATGCAGTTCAACATTCTTGAGTGCCGCCCTCGAATGATTAGTATATCGACATCAATATCAGCCATCCGTAGCTACTGTATAGATTCCGTAAAGTATTTGAGTTGTGCATTCCTCAAGGTCGTATCTTTTCTTAATGTCTACTCTAAAACTGTTGTTCTATGTGGCTCGTCTTCCTAATTTTTTTTTGTGTGGTTTGTACTCGTCTTCCTAATTAACAAGCTCATTTTGTCGCTAATTTGACGCGTGAGAGTTCTTTTTTCTTTTTAAACAATACGAGTATTTAAACCTTTCGGCTCATTATTCCTCACGAATGATGTTAGAGCTCAATGGAAGACCTTCCGTGAAAAAATCGGCCATATATCCGAACTTTAGGTAATTTGGTAATCGACGGCTTCTGCAATGAATTGGGTGAAAATCAGTCCAACTTTGTATGAATCTACTTCATCCCCTCCTGACACAGGAGACTTTTTCATAGTAACACAACCATTGAGCGTCGATCGATATACGCACTTCCACAGTTGCAATTCCACGATAATAAGTGGTGCTCTAATACGAGATTCCACAAAAAGGAGCACTCCCACATTGTTTTCTGGAAAGCGAAGGTAAACAGTGTTAGAATCGATCAAAGTCGAACCTAATGGGATTTGATTTCTCAACCAAATAGATAGTTTTGACTTGGTCGGGCCGACTCGGTTCAGTTCAACATTTGAACGGAACTTTTCCGCACTCAATCTATTATATTCTAGTCCGAGATACTTTAGTTGCTTCTTCACACTCATCATACTTTACTTGAATTTTTATACACTACATGGGAGCTCACACATCAGCCATGCCCATCTTTAACCTGCACTTCGGTGGCGCTTCAACTGCTCCAGAGCAGAGTAACACCTCCCTGGTGTTTCTAGCTCGTACAGGAACTCTTATTTACGTTTGAATTGATTCATTGATTTCATTCAATCTAAAGATGAAAGAACATTTTGTATTTAATGCCTCGCTTGTTTCGCAGAAAATAAATGATTTGAAAAATAACTTTTTATAGATGATCGTTTGTATGGCTTAAAATAATTAGTCAATGAAAATATTTTTTATTAAGGACAACAATTTATATCTGAAAATTTTAGCTTGTTTGTTTTTGCAATTGATGCAAGTTATCATTTTTTGGAACAATATTTTTTCAAATCATCTAGTTTTCAAAGAAAACAAACTCTAAATTTCAACTCACTGAATTAGGTTGGATGCAAGCACATCACTTCGACGTGAAATTCGGTGACTCGAGCAATAGCTTAAGCATGAAAAGATGTGTGTATTTCTCATTGAGTTAATCTAGTTTCCACTTGAGAGCGCGCTACTCTTGGAGTAGATGGAGAAAGTGGAAATTTAAGTTTCTAAATAATTTGAAAAAAAAATTAAACTGTGAAAGCCGCAAGATCTTTTCAAAAAAGTTAAATTAAAAGTTAATAACAATTTCTACCTTTTTTATTCCATGAGTTACTGAATTATCCATGTTACCAGCGGCTCTTTATCTTTCTCGCTCCTCTTCGATTTCCCCAACTTAAAGACAATTCTCATTCGAATAATTTAAGCACCCCGCCATCTGCCAGACTGGAACTGAAAACATTTGACATGTGGAAGACGAAGCATCCATGTCCCCGGCACGCAATGTCACTTGGCTTGTTTCTTGTTGCACTCCAAGTGTTTGTACAATGTCCTGACTCGGTTCAAACTTCCAACCCTGTTTATGACATAATTTTGTTTAGCCCTGGATTTCTCTATCAGATCCTTTACTGCTGTGGTTTTGATCACATCATAGCGTTGTACAACGCATGAACTCTTTTATATGTATCTTCCGAAATCCCTTTTCTGTTACGTTTGTGTGTCCTGAAATAGATCAAATATGGAGGGCAATAATGTTGTCATGGAAAGCAGCAAGGCAAAAAGTCGGAAGGGCCATAAAGATGAAGGAAATGATGTACTCAGTAGTTTGCCGGACTCGGTATTGGTCTACATACTTTCGTTCCTACCCACGAGGGATGCCGTACGGATAGTGATGGTCCCACGAATCCATTATCTCTGGACTATTACGCGCAACTTATCTTTTGATCAGTGTTCTTTCCATAACTGTGAAGAGCGGACAGTGCACAATGGTCTTGAGTATGATCAGAAGGTTTTAAATCTTGCCAACCATGTATTGACCCTGCACAAGAGCCATTTTATTGAACTATGCAACAGATGAGGATGTCCATGATGATCCTGAATTTGAGGATCATGTAACAAAAGAGAGAAGAACCCAGAACAAAATCGATAGATGGATTCGCTTTGCAGTGGGGAAAAAGGTTAAGTTCCTCGATTTGGACTTCCTAGGGTGCGACATTTATGTTATTCCTTACAAGTTGTCTAGCATTGTTCTCAGGTGTCGCTATTATGTAGAGCTCAAGTTAATTGCTTGTGATGTCAATCCACTTGGACCGATTCAATTAAAATCCCTTGAAAACTGTCACCGAAAGAAATCATACTAAGTGAGAAGATCCTGGGTGAGATTGTATCTGTTTACCCATTGCTTGGAGAGTTGTCTCTTGAAAAATGCTATGGTCTCCAGGAGCTCTAGTTCGATAGGCACTAAAAAATTGGAGGATTGAACCTCGACACATGTGAGGGTTTGGAGAAGCTTCATCTTGCTTGCTCTGACGCAACCAATTAACAGTTGTTGATACTGGGAATCGTGTAATAAATATAGTTTGTTTTAATTTTAGGACCCTGCATATTTCTGGGTCAGTAGAGTGTGTCAATTTAACCAATTACTCATCTTTGATTGATGCGTCACTCTACTTTAGTCATCATTTCAGATGTTCTTGTAAGGCACAGAGTCAGAGTGCTTCTCGAGAAGCTGAGAAGCAGTGTGTATTTTATGGGGAAAATTGTTCAAAAAATCCTCAACCTATTGTTTTTGGCCAATTCAGTCATAAACCTTTCAATTTTACCAATTAAGTCATAAACCTTTTTACTTCTTGCCAATTTAGTCCATCCGACCAATTTTGGCCGGAAATTGCTGTCGTGGACGCCAACTATCCTACGTGGTATGGCCGGCGCTGATATGGACATTAATAATATTTTGAAAATTTTATGGTTTTTTTTCTTTTTTTTCCTTTTCTTTGTTTTTTTTTTGGGGTTTTG